ATTTTTTGGGTAACTTATCCCTTGCGAGCTGTGCTTGGAACTAATTATTCTCTTTGCAACTTGCTCAATTTTCCTTTGTGTAAGTTGTTGGATGGAATATGCTATTTGAATATGTTGACAGATATGCTATTGATAGATTGCCATCCCTATTTACAGATATGCTATTTGAATATATTGGAAATATGTTGACAGATATGGTATTTGAAAATATGTTGATAGATATGCTATTGAGTGGAGCTTGAATATGCTATTTGAATATCTTTTGTGTAGAGCTTAAATAGGATATATTGACAGATATGTTATTTTTTAATTTGAAGATGTTTATAGATCACTGTTAATCTTTTCTTTGAATAAAAAAAAAAAACTGATATGTTACTGTAATTCGGGGTTTTTTCGGGGCGTCGGAGGGGGGGGGGCGATGGGCTCCCCGCTGGGGATCGGGGGTGAAGACAGCAAAATTTATCACTTTTGGAGATCAGAGACGGGGAGTGTAGTCCCCGCTCCCGCCCTGCGTCACCCCACCTCGCCCCGTCCCGTTGCCATTCCTAGCAGGGGCGAGGCAGGGGCAAGGCCAAGGCCAAGGCCAAGCATGCACATGTAAGTTTTTCTTATTTGTTTAGTCTTGCCATTACCTTACTTTGGTTATTTTTCTTATCCATTTATGATACTCGTGCATATTTATTACCTTACTTTGATTTGCAATTTAGGATATTCCAAGAGAGACCCTCCAATGCCTACTCAGTGTGTAACACATGTCACACAAGATTAACTTAGTTGGTTAGTTAGTTATGAAGTTACAATTTTTTTTTTCTTATTTTTTTACATTGCATGAATCCAACGTTGGTTTATTTTTTTATTTTTTTCTTTTCTTGCAGAGGGCTTAGCTAAGATGATGATGTTTTTTGTACGAGTTCTTCTCATAAGTTTAAGGTATATAACACATGTTGCTGTAGTGCACAGTTAGTCTCAGATAATCTTTCACTTTTTGTATTTTTGTAGTGGAAATGAAATAGTAAGCATAGCAACAAATAGTCTCAGATGATGCACTCATTTTTTTTTTTTTTTTTTTTTTTTTTGGGGGGGAATGATTTTTTTTTTTTTTTTTTTTTGTAGTGGTATGAAGTCTATTCACTTGGTGTTTACATTTATATTTTGGGAATTTAGTGGGATGATGTAATTGAATAGAGTACAGACATGATGCTCTATGGTGCTTACATAATAGTTAACTAGCTGCATCATATTGATATACTGATGATCACATAAGGTCCATTACAAAACATTTCTACAAAACATTACAAAAAGCTTGAAACTCCTACCAATTCCCATTACATTTTCAAAGCAACCATTAAGAAAATCAAACATAACACAATATTCGTGATCATTACAATCTTTATAAACCCGATGTTTGCTTCAAGTACTTGCATCCTTGATTGCATAGCTCCTATTTGGCTCATTAAATTCATTGTAGCATTATCTTCTTTATGGGTGTAACATACTTGGGGAGTACCTGCGCACGTTAAACAGTTTGGACTTCTGAGATCTCTTTGATTTAGTCTCACGAGTGCAATGTGAAACATAGATGAGAGTTCAAATTTGACAATTTTATAGAAAATTCATTTTATTACAAAATTATTGCCACAAATGGAAGGCATCATCAGATCTTAAAGTCATCACCTAATATTTTGGAAAATTAAGAAACCCATGACTCGTGCCAAAGCCACTGTTCGTCATAACCAAAGTTGTCTCGGTTTAGAACCTTAGGTATGAGAAGGAAAGGTTATTAATTGAGTACCCCCGCTCACCCGATTAAAAGATCGAGCTTTACTAACCATGATATGAATTTTATTTTCTTTATATGTTAATGTTCTGATTATTTAATAAATCCTAAAATTTACTATGTGAAGCATACAAGTATAGACTATGTCACTCACTTTGGAACAACTTGATTTTATGTAGTTTTGAAAGAGTTTTGAAGATGTACAATCCAAATAAATTGAGATTACAAGCATGAAAATCAACATCATTACAAATTAAGCGACACAACCTCCATCTATTGGCATTCATACAATTATATCACACAAGCATATAGCCACATGGTAAGATGCTAAACATAATAAAAATATTATGTACAAGCAGGATGCTAAAGCATAACAACTTACATATTTACCGACGTCCCGCGAACAACTACAAAACAAAGTTAGTAAAATATGCATGATCCTATATACAAAATCCTAATGCAATACATACACAAGAATGCTTATAAAGATTTGACTTCTAAAACATGGCATGTGAAACATTGTAAAATATGCGATAGCACACAAAATCATGTAATAATCAATTAAAACACAAAGATGCAAATTTAGTCGGATCTAAGCATGAATCATGTATATAAAAGTATGGATGACATATAAGATATATACATATGCACAGTTATGGAAAGCGATTAAAGAATGTGATAGATAAGAAATGGGAGTGGGAAATTATTACAACATTTGAAATATTACAAATCCAAGGAAAATGAATAAATATTACAACATAGTATAAAAATCCTCACAAACACTCAAAATAAAATAAACATAACAAAACAGCAGCTTCAAGCACCTCAAAGACCATCGAAGGTTGATCACGGTCCTATCTCTCTCTCTCTCTCTTACAATATGATCATTCTATATAGGCAATGAGGGAGAGTGAAAGTAGAAGGTGGGAAATAAGAATGTGATAGGAGGGAAAAATTTCAAGGTGGTTGCATGGGATACTCCTTTATGGATACAAACAAAACTTCTTTTTGACAATGGGGGGTGAGTGGAGATAATGGAGGATGAGTGGATACACTTGAATGGGTTAAAAAATGGCTCAATGGGGTGTCCCTACTGTGCCAAAACCAAAAAAAAATGGCCTTCCGCTGTTTTGGGCCGAGTCAACAAAATCTGGTATTAAACTCAACTTCAAACGGACATATCTCCCTTATATGGACTTGGTTTTAGGTGGTTCTCGGGTTTAAATTGAAGCCCCAGAAGTCTACTTTCCAATGATGATGGTCTTACATCTAAATTCCAAGTGTACAGAGAGATATGCCTAATTTAGTGAAGGCTGTTCATTTTCCTTGGCCCAGGTCAACAAAATTTGCTCTTAAGCCCAACTTCAAATGGGCATACATCCCTTATCCGGACTTGGTTTTAGGTGGTTTTTAGGTCTAAATTGAAGCTCCAGAAGCCTAATTTCCAATGGTGGTTGCCTCACATATAAATTTCAAGTTTATAAAGAGATATGCCTAATTTAGTGAAGGCTGTTCATTTCCCTCGGGCCAGGTCAACAAAATCTGCTCTTAAGCCCAACTTCAAATGGGCATATTTCCCTTATCCAAACTTGGTTTTAGGTGGTTCTTGGGTCTAAATTGAAGCCCCAGAAGTCTAATTTTCAATGGTGATAGCCTCACATCTAAATTCCAAGTGTACAAAGAGATATGCCTAATTTAGTAAAGACTGTTCATTTTCTTCTTAATGATTTGATGCTCATTCTTTTCCTAAACCAGTTTTCTTCTATCCTCTCCCGTTTCCTTCGAATCCAAACCTATCCAAACCTATAAAGAAGATGTTTTTAAATATTGTTTTCAAAGAGTTCACTTCTTTTTCATTTATTTTCACTTTGTCCTTACTCGATTTATTGAAAAATGTAATATTTTAATTAAAATGGGAGTCTCGGAATATCGTAGAAATATTTGAAAAAATATTTTGAAAAGAGGGTTTTAAGGTCTAAAATAGTTTGGCCAAAAATGTGTGAAGGTTGGAATTAAAGCTCAAATTCTATTTTTCTTGTTGAGGACTGCTGGGGAACACATTCTGATTGTCATCATTGGATAATCAACAGAAAGCATTTAGTCTTAGGGCTGGTCAAAATGGGATGTCTACAATAGGGTAAAGTGTGTTTGTTAACAGTAGCTTCAGTGTTTTCTATCATTGTTTCTCTTTCAATAGATAAGTTTACTGGTTTGCACCAGTCCTAGAAAGAGCATTTCCCATGTGGGCATAAATAATACAATTTGTCTTTGTTTTTCTCTGATTCAGTGACTTTAATTGCTACTTTGCTTCCACAATAGCAGATCTTACTCATATACTTCATTATCCTTCATCCATTACTTGATGATGACATATCCATATGATCCTACATTTCATGAAATGTGAGAGTTATAAGGTATTTTTAGAACATATATTGCATTATTTGTAACTAAATCTTTATTTGTGGATTGTGGTTGTGCTTTATTCAGGACTGTGGTTGTAAGTAATTCAGGACTGTGGTTGTGCTTTATTTGTGTTGCACTTGGTTTTGATTTCATTTTTTTAATGGAAATGGTTTGTTGTGCTTAATGTCAATTTATTTTATTTTATTTATTTATTTATTTTTTATAAAAATACTTAAAGTGAATGGTAACATACTTGTGTTGTTCTTGGTTGTGGAACTCTGTCTTATGCTTATTTCCTTTTACTTCTGGCTACTTTTTTGATTTTTCTCTTAGCTTGGAATTTCTGAGTTGTGTGTACTGTGGAGCTGTGTTGTGCTTGGTATATATAGCCGAGTTCAATAGCCTTGAGGATATTATTGGTATTTTTGGATTTATCTTTGATGATATCAGTAGGTTCTGTTACTTGTGTTAACAGAGGTTAAAAAATAGGAGAATCTTGACAATGTCAATTAAAGTAAAGGAGATTTTTGTAATTATTCAAACTATAGGGGAAGTCTTTACATTTGTTAAAAATCTTAGGGGAGGTGAGTGTAATTTATCCTTTTTTTTTAATTTCAAGAAACAGGACCGAAACGGAAATAGAGAGCAGCGTAAGGACTATATCGTCAAAGTGGGTGTTGAGAGAATTTCTTTCAGTGTGTAAAGAAGCATCCGTATATAAAGGAAAATCAATTCGTATTTCAAATAGCGGGAACAAAATAGTGTTGTTTCCTGAGAAAAAAGAAAGGGCAAAAAAAAAAAAAAAAAAAAAAAAAAAGGGAAAAAAAAAAAAAAAAAAAAAAAAAAAAAAAAAAGTAAGTCAGAAGCTTCGACTAACATCGTCAACTAATCAAAACAGTCCGATCTTCAGGTAGGTCACTTTGTTTTCGCTTCAAGTTCTATCTTCGTATTTGCTTTATAGATTTGAACTCTCATTTTTATACAAGTATTTATACACAGGCATATATATACTTTAAAGTTGTTTCCTTTTTTTTTTTTCCTTATAAGAAATCGATTTGTCTTTCATTGTTTGATCTTCATTGAAAGATACTATTATATATCTCAACGTTGTTTTGCTTTCGAACTGCTTGTTTTTTGAAGTGTATGTTGTGTAGTGTTATGCTAACTGATTGAGATCACACCTATTTGACCTTTACCTTTATCTAATTGAGGTTTTGATTAATAGAAGCAAGGTTGTTAGGTTTCAGTGTGATTCAAAGGTTATGGAGTGTGAGAGTACGAGTAATGAAGGGACACCTAGGTTTATTAAAACAGAGGAAGAGGGCTTTTATGGGTATGAAGTGTTAGGGTTTCACTTGAATGCCCATTTAGAAAAAAGGAATTGGGTGTTGTTATGTATACACCCACTAATTTAAGCCTCGTTTGGGAACCCTCATTTTTAGCCAAAAAGTCAAAAAGTTACTAAATTAGCCAAAAAGCCAACAACCCATACCAAAAAGTCAAAGATTCTCTTTTCTCTCTACTTTTTGCAGATCTTTTCGTAAAAGCCAAAAAGTCATTCCAAACATACTAGTTTTTTTTAGCTCATATTTTAGTCAAATAGCCAAAAAGTTACTAAATTAGCCTGTTCCTAACTGAAAGTTAATTGAAAGAAGTTTGGGTTTTAAGCACTTTGATATGCTTAGATTCTTTGAATGAAAGAAGTTACTAAATTAGCCTGTTCCTAGCTGGAAAAGTCGTTGGAATCTTTGAATGTCCGTCGGAAAATTCAAATGTCGCCGGAAAACTCGAATCTTCTAAAAATGGTGAGATGCTTAGATTCTTTAATGGTCGCAACTAGAAATACAATAGCAAAGAGATGATGGAGATAAGAGATTGGGTGATGAAGAAGGCAAAGTAATTAAAGAGAATAATGACAAGGCTCTCCCGTGGATCTCTCACTTTCACTCTCAAGGTAGATAATAGAGAAGGGAAATTAGTTTTCTCCCAAGAATTGTCTCTCTAAAATCCATCCTTTGGAAAGCTATAGGTGGGTGCTATTTATAGGCACCTCATGATGTAGGATGGAGCCCATGTGTAAGGCACATGGGGAACATTCCCTCTAACTATCTTGTCTGAGGAGGTGACCTCTCCGAGGATGAGGAAAATCCCGAAAAGGAGATCAACCTCTCGGCGAACTCTTCTTTTTAGTCACACCTAACCAATGATTCCCAATCATCCCAAAGGGTCAGGGGTAGTCCCAGGGGACGCCCTGCTGCAAATATTGCCGAGTCTCAGGGACTCCCTAGATCGTGCCACCTCGACCCGAGTATAGGCTAGTTTAACCGAAGAGTGAATTTATCTCCACTCACCGTCCTCGGGATTGGATCCTTTAAAAGCCAAAAAGTCATTCCAAACATACTAGTTTTTTTTAGCTCATATTTTAGCCAAATAGCCAAAAAGTTACTAAATTAGCCTGTTCCTAACTGAAAGTTAATTGAAAGAAGTTTGGGTTTTAAGCACTTTGATAATTACTCCTTTTTATTTTTATTTTTTGGGTTAGTTGTTGGAGAACATTCGGTTTTGAACACAAATTGGGTAGGCATCAAATCACCTGGATGATCTGCGTTACATGTTCAAAGGGATGAAATGCCGTATGTGCATATTGATTTGTCAAATTCTTAAAGCATTGAGTGGAGAACTCTTTCTTCTTCTTGTTATTTTAAGCAAACAATGGTTTGCTTTTAAAAAAAAAAAAAAAAAATCTGATAGTTAATGACCTTTATTATGTATTTCTTTACAATAATACGATTTTCCAAGTAGACCCTTCCATGATTGTCTTCCTAGTGAAAAGAAGTCTTGTTTGCGTGTTCTAGTTTTTAAAATTATTTCTGAATTGTGGATGCACTAGGGCATGCTTGCCAGGTGTCTAGGCCGTGTTGTGTCCAAGATGGCACATTGTCCTAGCTCCTCTATGGAGGTACCCTGTTTCTTAGTGTATGAGAGGGTTTGAGGATGTCGCTGGAAAAGTCGTTGGAATCTTTGAATGTCCATCGGAAAATTCAAATGTCGCCGGAAAACTCGAATATTCTAAAAATGGTGAGATGCTTAGATTCTTTAATGGTCGCAACTAGAAATACAATAGCAAAGAGATGATGGAGATAAGAGATTGGGTGATGAAGAAGGCAAAGTAATTAAAGAGAATAATGACAAGGCTCTCCCGTGGATCTCTCACTTTCACTCTCAAGGTAGATAATAGAGAAGGGAAATTAGTTTTCTCCCAAGAATTGTCTCTCTAAAATCCATCCTTTGGAAAGCTATAGGTGGGTGCTATTTATAGGCACCTCATGATGTAGGATGGAGCCCATGTGTAAGGCACATGGGGAACATTCCCTCTAACTACCTTGTCTGAGGAGGTGACCTCTCCGAGGATGAGGAAAACCCCGAAAAGGAGATCAACCTCTCGGCGAACTCTTCTTCTTAGTCACACCTAACCAATGATCCCCAATCATCCCAAAGGGTCAGGGGTAGTCCCAGGGGACGCCCTGCTGCAAATATTGCCGAGTCTCAGGGACCCCCTAGATCGTGCCACCTCGACCCGAGTATAGGCTAGTTTAACCGAAGAGTGAATTTATCTCCACTCACCGTCCTCGGGATTGGATCCTTTGTTCAGACTCCATCACACCCATGGTTCTGGTACATAGATCCCGGAAAGCTTCGAGCCCGCAAGTGTTTTGGGACTCATTAACGGAGCGACTTCTAGATTGCGTTCGAATCCGTTCGAAGCCAAGTGTTTCGGATCTCTAGGTTTGTGGATTTGAACCCTTTCGAGTCCGAGCTTAAATAGGTTTCTAGGTTCGTGGATTGGAACCCTTTCGAGATTACAGCAATCTGGCCCATTCAATGATGATATCTCTGGGCCCACTAATTTTATGCTTTCTGACTTGGCTTCGATTGGGCTTAATCAATTAGATGGGTTCGAGTTAACCCCTCTTATATTTTGCCCCTTGCGTGTATGGGAAGTCTATGATCTTCTCGGATATGCACATTTGACCTTCTCGGATAGGCACTTCTTGTAGTGGCATTCGGACATGCACATTTGATCTTCTCAGACAGGCAATCTTTGTAATGGTTTGTGCTTAGGCTGTTGTTAATACGCCTCTAAAGCTGTTAACGTTCTCACGAGTTTCATGGAATCCATTCTATTGCCCCTTTTTGTCCTTTTGAAGAAGACGAGTACTTGGTAACAGTTGCTAGTTCTGTCTTGAAAAGCTATCCTAGGGCCTTTGCCCTTTTTAGATGCAAGAGTTATCCTAGGGTATTGCCCTTTTCGGACGAAAAAACTATCCTAGGGTGTGGCCCCTTTTAGACGCAGAAGCTATCCTAGGGCCTTTGCCCTTTTTGGACGCAGAAGTTGTCCTAGGGCATTACCCCTTTCGGATGCAGAAGCTATTCTAGGACATTTGCCCTTTTCGGATGCAAAAGCTATCCTAGGACGTTTGTCCTTTTTGGATGTGGAAGCTATCCTTGGGCATTGCCCCTTTCGAATGTGAAATGTCTTTCCTCTCCACGTTCTGATTTCAAAGATAGCTTCAGAGTGTGGTTCAAGAGAAAATCTCTTCGATGTATTCTTAAGGAGTCAAGACCTTTTCCGATGCCTGAGACAGAGATAAGAAGTTGAGGTCATTGGAGAGGAAGAGAACACAAACTAAGAAAAACCTTTTTTGGCTCACTCTTAGATGGAGGAAATTAGCGAAGAAGTTGGCATAGTCCAAGAGTTATTCCATTCGGCCCATTTCGAGATACATGCAAATATAAGACTTGAAGAGGCAAGTGTCATAAGAGTAGATGGTATCTCTAACTCGATTGGTAGCATGACCTCTGACCCGAAGATGAGGGAATATCAAAGCGTTGTTATCAATTGTTCAGACCGAGTTACTCCCTGAGATGATATGGTAGTTGGTCTCAGCCTACATAAAACTTTGTGGTTGAGCGAATTTCTTTGAGGGTTAGATCAGCCGTCACATAGCCAAGAGTAATTCTCATTTCTCCTCTGAGCCTCGTAATTGCAATGGGTTGGTTCACAACATGTTTCTCGGGGATTCCGACCTTCTCAAGTGTTGCTCGGGTCATGATATTTAGCGAAGTCCTTTTATCAAGGAAGGTTTTCTCAAACTTGGCCATATTAATGTAAGTTGTAACATAAAGTAGGCAATTATGAAAGAATGTGTACTTTCAGTCTTCCTCAAAGAAAGTTATAGCACTTGAATTTCCTCGATCTTTCCTAGAGACTGGACTTTTGGTACCAGTACATTCTTCGTGAAGTGTTTCATTAATACTGATAATGGCCTTGCTAATTTCAAATCTAGCCATCTCAGATAACCCGAGCAGATCAAAGAACTTCTTGAATCTTCACACAATTTTGCAAAATTTTCACATGTTGGTCGGGATCGACCATTACCTTCGGTGGTTCATAGTTGCCAACTTCTTTGATTTCATCATAGTAATCCCTAATCCCCTTCTAGATCTAAGGTGCCTCCGAGGAAAAGATCATCGTCTTCATAATGGTTCCTCTTCTGTCCTCTAAACCCCTTCCCATTCGAGATGACTTGTAACTAGCTTTGTAATTGGACTTGAAACTAGACTTATGAGCATGAGAAGTGTTGATATACAACTTCATGAACTTGGGGATAGTGTACCCCTTCAGATATAGATAACTTAACATTTCCACCAAGTATGTCCGGATCGGATAAGGAGAGAAGAGTCTTTTTTATCCCACTCTTGATCGAGCATGATTTTCGATATAGTTTTGTTGGACAGGACTTTCTTGGGAGCAACATCCTTGGGAGTGACTTCTTTGGGAGCAATATCCTCGAAAGTGACTTTCTTGAGAACAACATCCTTGGGAGCAATATCCTCGGAGGTACCTTCCTCGGGCTCAATATCCTCGGAGGTGACTTTCTCGGGAGCAATATCCTCGGAGGTGACTTTCTCAAGAGCAATATTCTCGGAAGTGACTTTCTTGGGAACGACATCCTTGGGCAATATCTTCAGAGGTGACTTCCTCGGGAGCAATATCTTCGGAAGTGACTTTCTCGAGAACAACATCCTCGAAGCAATATCTCCGAAGGTGACTTCCTTGGGAGCAATATCCTCGAAAGTGACTTATTCGGCAACAACATCCTTGGGAGCAATATCCTCAGAGGTAACTTCCTTGAGAGCAATATCCTCGAAAGATATGAATTCCTTTGGAAATAGAAATGAAAGACTAGAGATTGTTGATAATCAAACTATACTCAAGAAGAGATTGAGAAAAATGGTGTTTGTATGAAAGATTAAAACAAGCAATCTAGAAAGAGAAAGTTGTAGAGAGACAAAATGGTAAAGAGAGACAATTGTAGAGAGAGAAAGTATTGTGTATGTCATCAATGGCAGAGAAAAAGTGTTGGGTAAGTGTGTATATAGCCATAGAAGCATGGAAGGTATTTGGAATGCTTTACCCATTTGGATTAAAGACATGTAAAGTTGATGGAACAACAAAGTGGGTTTGTAATGGTAATGGAGCAACAAAGTGGGTTTGTAATGGTGATAAAGCAACTAAGTGGGTTTGTCAATTTCTACAATTTAAAACATCATAGGAAACCATTTGAACACCAATTTGGACATTTGGAAACCCATTTGGGTGGCAAAATACCATTGCTAATCAATTTCTCACCAATTTGAGGACTTGGAAACCCATTTGGGTTTGATGGAATATCATTCCCAATAAATTACACATCATTTTTGGACATTTGAGAACCCATTTGGATTTGGTAGAAAAGTAGAGAGTATTACCTTTTGTATGTTTTGAAACCCTTGAATAGCTTCCATGAAAATAGCTTGGTCTTGAGTTTTGTCACCATCATTGACGAAACCTTCATGTTGATGAACTTTTTCTTTCATTTTCGCCGGAGTAGTATGCATTCCAGATCTCATTGCTACCATCAACCAATCCGCTTCCCCAGTGAAGTCACCAAAATGTATGAGAGGGTTCGGGGATGCCGTCGGAAAATTCGAAGGTCGCCGAAAAATTCACTAGAATCTTCGAATGTCTGTCGGAAAATTCGAATGTTAGCGGAAAACTCGAATCTTCTAGAAATGGTGAGAGACTTAGATTCTTTAACAGTCACAACTAGAAACACAATAGCAAAGAGATGATGGAGATAAGAGATTGAGTGAAGAAGAAGGCAAGTAATTAAAGAGAATAATGGCAAGGCTCTTCTATGGATCTCCCACTTTCGCTCTCAAAGTAGATAATGGAGAAGGGAAATTAGTTTTCTTTCAAGAATTGTCTCTCCAAAATCTATCCCTTGTAAAGCTATAGGTGGGTGTTATTTATAAGGGTTAATTACACTAATAGTCCCTATAGTTTGGGACTTGTGTCACTTTGGTCCCTGACTTTTCAATTGTGATACATTTGATCCTAAATTTTGAATCTTGTTCCAAATAAGGACAATTCAAAATATCATTAGATTTTTCAAGGGTAAAATCGTCAATTTGATAAAATATAAACTAATTTGACCAAAAATAAATGTCAAAAAAATATTTTTAATTTTTAAAAAATTATTTTTATCTACCAATGATAAAATTATGTAAAATTAATAAAAATTACATGATTATTTTTTAAAATTAATTATACATGATCATCATCTAAACACATAATAAAAATTAATTTGATAAAAAATAAATAAATATCTAAAAGATTTATCAATTTTACATAATTTTATTTTTAGTAGGTAGAAATAATTTTTAAAAATTCAAAAATATTTGTTTGACATTTATTTTTGTCAAATTAGTTTATATTTTATCAAATTGACAGTTTTACCCTTGAAAAATCTAATGATATCTTCAATTGTCCTTATTTTAAACAAGATTCAAAATTCAGGGTCAAATGTGTCACAATTGAAAAGTCAGGGACCAAAGTGACATAAGCTCCAAACTATAGGGACTATTTGTGTAATTTGCCCTATTTATAAGCACCTTATTATGTAGGATAGAGCCCATGTGCAAGGCACATGAGGAATATTCCCTCTAACTACCTTGTCCGAGGAGGTGACCTCTTTGAGGATGAGGAAAATCCCGAAGAGGAGATCAACCTCTCGGGGAACCCTTCTTCTTAGTTACACCTAACTAATGATCCCCAATTATCCCAAAAGGTCAGGGGTACTCCTAGAGGACGCCCTGCCGCAGAAGGGTCAGGGGTAGTTCAAGAGAATGACCTGTCGCAAATGTTGCCAAGTCTTAGGGACCCCCTAGATCGTGCCACCTTGACCCGGGTATAGGTTAGTTTAACCGAAGAGTGAATTTATCTCCGCTCACCGTCCTCGGGATCAAGTCCTTTGTTTGGACTCCATTATGCCCATGGTTCTGGTATGTAGATCTTGGAAAGTTCCGAGCTTGCAAGTGTTCTGGGACTTATTAACGAAGCGATTTCTAGATTGCATTCGAATCCGTTCGAAGCCATTTTAGATCTCTAGGTTCGTGGATCTGAACTCTTTCGAGTCCGAGCTTAAATAGGTCTCTAGGTTCGTGAATTGGAACCCTTTCGAGATTAGAGCAATCTGACCCATTTGATGATGATATCTCTGGGCCCACTAATTTTATGGTTTCTGATTGGGCTCCGATTGGACTTAATCAATTAGATGGGCTCGACTTAACCCCTCTTACACTTAGTCCAGGACTTTAAGTGATTTTTCACTTTGCAAGATGGTACAATTTTTTTTTTCTTGTTATGTCTGGAGCTCTAGTTGTTTTTTTGGTCTCTTTAGCTCATACACTTGTTTATTGCAGGCATACTTGACTTAAAGATACTGTGTTATTGCTTGGTATTTTAAAGGTTTATTTCTTAACTCCTCTCTTGAGGTAAAGAGTGCAGCACTGGATTGTGATGGATAACGGGTGCTTGGGAGATATTTTTGATGGCTTTGGTCAAAAGCATTCTGGTGGAGAGGGTTCCATTCCAGCTTTGACAAGCGACAATAGTACTGCAGCTGCTTACAAAGATCCTCAGATATCAAACCAGTTGTCTATCCATCATGATGGGTACTTATATCATTATTTTTTTCATTTTTTTCTTTTCCTTTCCCAAATAACTGTGAAGACTATGAGTTCTTTTTATGAATTTCTATGTTCAGTGCTAGTTGGTGATTTTGCAGGTTGATATATTATTTTACTGATGCTTTATTTTGGTTTTGACCTTATAATTTCTTTTCCCTAAATAGTAGTGCCACAAAGAAGAAAAGAGTATCAAGAATCATTGGCGGGGGTCTGCGCCAGTTCAGTATCATAAGTCAGTAATTTCTTTTATATAGACTTGATTGATTCCTGCATATTTTATAGCATCAGGTTCTATTCTAATGTATGCACAATTAAATCATTCCATTAATGAAGCTTGGCTATATTAATCTTTTAATTAATTAATTATTATTTTTATTTCTGAACAACGATATATAAAATTGCCATGTGAAGGCAGTCACTTGTGCAAAATAACACTAAGGCTAGGTTTGGGTAGCGGCCTTTAACTTTTAGATGAATCTATGCATTGAGTAATATTAGTGAGGACAACTCTACAACTATAATTAATTACTCTTGTTTTGGTGAAAATTTAAATCTGCTTCAATTGTTTCTCAGTTTGTAAGAAAGTGGAGAGCAAGGGAAAAACCACATATAGTGAGGTATTTTTTCTTTCTTTCATCCCTTTCCCCCTTTCCATGTCTCTCTTGTGACGCAGATTTTAAAGCTTGTTTTGCTAAAGGTGAAAAGAAGCACTAGGGAAGAGAGTTGATATTTCGCCGTGCTAAACAATTTCTTATCAATTTAACATTGGATTAAGCATTGTATTGCGGATGTACCATTTCTTTGTGAATAGTGATTTTGAGAATTTGTTTGAAGACTATATATAAAGACTATTTTTGGCTTGGTTTATGCAATCTATTTGGAAGCTTTAGTTCTGGACATCAAGAATAATTCATTATCTCAAAAAGCCCAAGGGATTAAATTTTTTTATCATTGCCTATTCTGAAATGTTGTTTCACGTCAAAATCAAGTTTCAAGTGGGATTTTGTGTATTATTTGTAGCTTTTTACTTAGAAAATATGAAGAAGAAGAACTCCGAAAATATGAGGAAGAAGGAATATATTTCTGTTATATTCAAAACTTCTTATCTTACAAGACCAAATGACACTCCTTATATAGGAGATATTACAAACATCATCATAACCCATTATATGCCACTTACATATTATATATTACCACTATCTACCACTATCATATTATATACATGCCACTATCTACCACCAACACCACTATCATATTATATGCATGAACACAATTTCCAGCATTTTTAATTGAAGACATGGAATTCAATTTCCTAAAATTAAGGAACAGTTGTTGTATGATTGACCTCTTCCAGACCCTGTTGCAAGCGGGAACCTAATGCACGAGGAATGACCTTTTCTCTTATTTGGAAGATGATTGGGTTACAGTTTGTGTTTCATAAGTATAGACGTATTTTGCATTTTATGAAATTGTGTTTTTGACAAGCTCTTAATCTTAAGTATGGATTATCAAAAAAAAAAAAAGGTCCGGTTTGCTTTCTATATATAAAAAAAAAAAAAAATTCAAATCTTAAGTATGAGTCAGATATGTGAGTCTAATTTTCTCAGCAGTTTTACTTGTATGGTGCATGCAACTTTGTGTATTATTACATTTATTTATATTTCATCTGAGTTTATGCTGAATATATTTGTTGCATGGTTCATGAGGCACAGGTTGCTGATGAAATCATAGCTGAGCTTACTGCAACAAATAATAATTCAGCAGTATCCCTGGACGAGGTTTCATTTTACCCTACAATTTGATTTTTTAACTGTGATTTTATTATGCAAGACGATTGAATGTCTTAAGAAGAGAATGTTTCAATTTCTTTAGTTTGATGAGAAGAATATACGGCGGCGGGTATATGATGCACTAAATGTTCTTATGGCAATGGACATAATCATTAAAGACAAAAAGGAAATATGGTGGAAGGGGCTTCATAATGCAAATGTGAAGGATATGGAAGAAATTAAGGTTGGCTTCGAAATGTCTTTTTATCATATTAATGAGACACCCCTCTCTCTCTCTCTCTCCCTCCCCCTCCCCCCCCCCTTTCCTTGCGTGTGTGCCTAGTGAAGCTAAGATAAGATGTCTGTGGATTGTCTGGTCTGGATACTTGCCTTGAGGTTGAGGGCACCTTTTAGTTATATGTCTCCATGTCGTGCCTTAGGGTGGTGGGTGTACTTTAAGGAGGCTGTGGTTTGGTGGCTTAAACGGGAAAGCTGGCTAACAGATGAGGCCACTGAAACTGCGATACTGATAGCATGCTCTAGCATGAATAATTAGACGTATGGTTGGCAGGATCATCAACTTATACATCCTTGGAGTTAATGCTCAACCGTGTGGGCCAAAGCCCCAAGGACGGAGGTGATGATTTTATGAGACACATAAATCCCCCAGCGAAAAATGAGGCTGCATCTTTTTTTGTCTATTGTCCCTCATATGTTGTTCGTTGTACTGCATTCATGACTTTGTCCACAATTATTGGATGGGTTTTCCTCATAGTTTGAGCTTTTGTCCCTTTTCCTATCCTACACCCTCTCTTTCATCACCCATCATGTGTGAAGGTCAGAATTTCAGAAAATGGTAATTTGGATTTCATTTATTATTTATTTTTAATCCTTGCAGGCATTGCGTGTGAAGGCGATGAATAGAATTGAAAAGAAAGCAGCCTACTTGAAAGAATTGGAAGAACAAGTAATGTCATTTGTCATTTCTTCTCTACATCATAGTGAACATTATTCTAACCAAAATTTGTCAAAGTTTTGAGAGAATATTTTTGCATTATAGGGTAGAATAGAATTTGATAAAATACATTTTCATGATAGTTTATTATATGAAAAGGAAAATTTGTATTGATTAGTAATTGGTATTTATTTAGAAAATAACTTCTGACAATTTTAGGACTTTTTTGCGACATTTTGTTTCTTTTTTTATTTTATTTTTGTTCTTTATACTTTGTGTAAGAGATATTGATAGAGAGAGAAAGAGAATAAATTGTATTATTGATTGATATAATGTTATATTTATTACAATGATTCATGATTCCTATATATAGAAGAGGGTGAGTGTGTAGTAGGTAAGGAGTAGGTGAAGTGGAGGTGGTAGTGGTGTAGTGGGTTAGGTTTAGTGGAGTAGGTGAGGTGGTAGTGGTGTAGTGGGTTAGGTTTAGTGGAGTAGGTTTAAGTGGGTGAAGTAGGTGATAGGTTTTAACACTTTGAATTAGTGTATCCTTGCTCTTGTTCAGAGTTGTAGGTATTTAGAATAAATGGTTATGGCTTACAACTAATAGATTAATAGATAGGTCATTCTTGCTCTTGATTTTTGGTATTATTGATTATATTAGATTGTCAATATGCATGCTGCATAGAAAATTGTATTTATTGCAGCTATTCCAGTAAACTTTGCTTTGTTAGAACTTAGAAGTTGAATTGGTTCATGAAATATTTTTAGGACCATGGGCGAAGAATTATCTATACAAAGGATCATGATTCAGTCACTTTTACTTGAATGTGCATATGTTAATCATATCTCTAACTTGGCAAAACTCATTTTGGGCGCAGGTTATTGTCTTGAAAAGAATAATGGTCATCATATAACTTTTGCAAAGCTGGGAGGACATATAAATTCTTTTCTTAGAATGCTTTTTTTAAGAATATTTTAGAGTTGGTCAACAAAAAAACTGGCTCTTTGTAGGAGTTCATCTATTGGAAATGCATTCATATATAGATCTGGTTCTTGTTCTGGTTCTGTTTTTTTTTTTTTTTTTTTTTTTTTTTTTTCTTTTTTTTTTTCCCTTCTAAAACTTTGATCTATTTAATTTCCAAATAAAGAATTGGAGATCAGGATATATGTGAAAATTCTTCATTCACTAAACAGGCTAGCTACATATGCATTGCATAAATATCGCTGACTTATTTTTCATTTGAACGATGACAAGATAGAAATACAAATACCATACCATACCCCTGGCCATTCTGATTGCCTGACGCATCTTTCTTGAGTAATAATTGAGATTCATGTGAATGTTAAGGTGAAGAATCAGTGCATTTTTTGGACAAAAAAACAAGGGTTCGGTTTTGTAGGATTTTTGTTTTAGTTAACATGGCATATCTTTGGTGGTAGTTGTTGATCTATGTTTCTTTCTCTTGTTTATATATATATATTATAAATCAGGTCATTTTCCTTATGCTAATTTGTTTGTTTGTTTGTTTGTTTGTTCTTTCCAAAAAAGATTGCAGGTCTCCAAAATCTGATGTTGCGTAATCAGCAACTGCTCAAGTCTGGAAATGCTCCTTTTGGAGGGTTCTCTTTGCCATTTATAGTAGTTCGGGTACATGTTTCTTTCATTTTTTTAGCATACATATATAATATGTATACTTTTGTTAGTTTTCATTGCTTTTTCTAATCAAAATAATAGCAGTTTGGTTTTTGCAACTGTCTTATTCAGCTTCTAAGAGCACATGATGATTTATTGAACTGTTAGAAGTATGCCTATGTTATTTATTTGCTATGTCATTAAGTTTGTAATATCATTTAAGTAATTCTGGCTATCATCTAAGTAACTTTTTTCTGGCATAGGGGTATGTGAAAATTGATATTTTGATTGATGTGTTATATATTACAAGATTGTTGTATTACAAGATTGATTTAATTACAATTCCTATACAATCTATATATAGAAGAAAATGTGGTAGTAGGTGTAGTGGAGGTGATAGTGGGTTAGGTGAAGTGGAGTGTGTGGTGAAGTGGAGGTAGGTGAAGTGGAGTGTGTAGTGGAGTAAGTGAAGGTAAAGATTGATTGATGTATTGATGTATTACAAGATTGATTAATTACAATTCCTATACAATCTATATATAGAAGAAAATGTGGTAGTAGGTGTAGTGGAGGTGATAGTGGGTTAGGTGAAGTGGAGTGTGTAGTGGAGTAAGTGAAGGTAAAGATTGATTGATGTATTGATGTATTACAAGATTGATTAATTACAATTCCTATACAATCTATATATAGAAGAAAATGTGGTAGTAGGTGTAGTGGAGGTGATAGTGGGTTAGGTGAAGTGAAGTGTGTGGTGAAGTGGAGATAGGTGAAGTGGAGTGTGTAGTGGAGTAAGTGAAGGTAAAGATTGATTGATGTATTGATGTATTACAAGATTGATTAATTACAATTCCTATACAATCTATATATAGAAGAAAATGTGGTAGTAGGTGTAGTGGAGGTGATAGTGGGTTAGGTGAAGTGAAGTGTGTGGTGAAGTGGAGATAGGTGAAGTGGAGTGTGTAGTGGAGTAAGTGAAGGTAAAGATTGATTGATGTATTGATGTATTACAAGATTGATTAATTACAATTCCTATACAATCTATATATAGAAGAAAATGTGGTAGTAGGTGTAGTGGAGGTGATAGTGGGTTAGGTGAAGTGGCTGCTCACCCTCTTTCCCGACCTCAACGAGTCAACAAGAGAGAGAACTGGTGCGGTGGCACTGGAACCTCAACCAAGCGCCCCGGAGTTTGCTCCGTTGAACTTTCCGATGCGGTCGGTGGAGCAAAGAATGGCAGTGCAGTCAGATGTGGAGGCCAATCAGTATACTTTGAAGTCATGTGTGGAGTCCATGACGGCGGTTACAAATTTGTCACACCGGCTGCAGAGTAGGACAAATGAGGTGCAGCAGTTAAACGCCCAGCTGGCTCTGCTTCAACGCATGTATAAGGATGCGCGAGCAGAGATATGTGTGCTGAAAGCAGAAAATAAGGAGCTGAAGCGGAAGGCCACCGTTATGTTCCGATTTGGAGGGCCGCCATATGCTGCAGGGGAGGAGCAGGGAGTAGTGAATGTGCTTGGTGAATTAGGAAGCACAGAGGCAGCACCGTCAAGGACCGCCCAGGACGGAGGCAAAAAGAAGAGACCGGCGGCAGAGTAGGTCGGTGGGTGGCCGTCTGCAGAAAAGAAAACAAAGCTGTTGTTGTTGTGATGTTTTGTGTATGTTTGTATGTTTTGATCCCGATATGAATAAAATGAGTGTATTGTGCAAATCCGAATGGCGTGAAGGGACAAGACGAATCAGAAAATTAAACTGGAATGAAAGTTTTTTTTATTTTTTTATTTTTTATTTTTTATTTTTTATTTTATTTTTTTGTTTGTTTTTTTTTTTAATAAAATAATAATAATAATAATAATAATAATAATAATAATAATAATAAAGAAAATGAAGTGGGGGAAATCAGTGGAATCAATTAAGGCTAGCATAATATATTGGAGTGGGGAAAAGAATGATGGGAATGTTGAGTATATAATAAAATAAAAATGAGTATTTGAAAAAGATTTTAAAAAAGAGGTTTAGAGATTTGAAAAAGATATAAAAAAAAAGAGGTTTAGAGAAAAAAAATAAAAATAATAGAGTTGAAAATCAAACAGAAGAAAGAGAGAGGACAAGCCCACGTGGGTGGCCTTTTTTTTTTTTTTGAATAAAAAAAAAAAAAAAAAAAAAAAAAAAGGTCATAAAACTACTATTCTAAGTGGTTATACATGTTCTTGAATTGTTATACTAATTAGCTGTGGATCAGAAATACTAATCACTAATTGTGCAGTGTAAATGGCATGCAAAAATTAGAAAAGAGCCAGAGAAATTTGTGCAGTGAGAGAATTACTCACTCGACTTCATTTCCATGATTGCTTTGTCAATGTAATAATACCCTTTCTTCCTGTTCTATGCATTTGTCTTTGTGTGTTGCAAACATCTTTTTTTATGGTCATAAGAAGCTCAAATTTATGTAACTTACATATGTCAATTCATGTATGACTAACTAACTGTCTTTGCATGCAGGGCTGCGAGGGGTCCATTTTGCTAGACAATGCAGATGGAATAGAGAGTGAGAAAAATGCAACTATTAATTTGTCAATTAATGGATTTGCTGTTGTTGATGACATCAAGACTGCATTGGAGAATGTTTGTCCAGGTGTTGTCTCCTGTGCTGACATTTTGAAATAGCATGCATGCTTGGGAGCCATCTTCATGTACGAGCGTTCGAGGCTCATTTTCAAGTTAAATTACCCATTGAAGGTAATGCAATATTTGCTTTAGCACACTTCCGAAAAATAAAGATGCCCCGCAATTAAAGTTAAGCTTTGTATGTTACTCTCTCCAAACTCAAGTTGGTTAGTTCCTATCCCCCTTGAGTTTGCGGGGGGCTGTTAAAATGTACCAAAACCTACCACTACACCTACTCCACCCACTTCACCTAAACCTACCAAAACCTACCACTATACCTACTCCACCCACTTCACCTAAACCTACCACTACACCTACTCCACCCACTTCACCTACTCCACCTACTACATACCTACCTCCTCTAATCTTCTATATATGGGACTCATTGTAAACACAACAAATATTAATCAATAAAACAATTCTCTTTATACATTGAATTTTAACAATTTAAGTAATTCTGGCTATCATCTAAGTAACTTTTTTCTGGCATAGGGGTAAATTTGTTAGGGGGAATCACATCCCAGTGAAACAGATTTAAAAAAAAAATTGCAGAGACATGGTGCAACTCAGAGTTGCACCCACATAACTTTTGAGTTGTACCCCACCCACCACACAACACCCTCCATGTTCTACAAATGATTTTTGGTCTCTTGCATTGTTATAGTTGCACCCCACCCACCGCACAAGGAGTTGCACTCCCCATGTTTTACAAATTTCTTTTGGTCTTCTACCTTGCATTTTTATTTCCCCAATATTTTATAGAACTTCACCAAAGGCTTGGGGATCAACCAGAGCACTCTATTCACTTTTTTTTATCTTCATCTTCCAAGTAGCAAATCCTATTTTTAAAATTCTTTTAGCACTATTAATCTTAAGTAACATTGCAACAATCTGCATGCATCTAGTCTCACAGCAATCAGCATTCCTCGTTCTTCTTGATACTTATAGAGGTGATGGGATTTATCACTCTATACTATCACTTCCTGTAATTTTTTCATAATGGAATTGGTCTTGCTGTCTCTTCTTTTCAAGTCGTTGCTTTGTTACGCCTATTTTTTTCTCTCCACCTACTTCACCCACTTAAACCTACTCCACTAAACCTAACCCACTAAATCCACATACTCTCCACCTACTTCACCCACTTAAACCCTATCACTTCCTGTAATTTTTTCATAATGGAATTGGTCTTGCTGTCTCTACATTAAATTTCTACACTTTGTTACGCCTATTTTTTTGCTTTGTTGAACTCAACTAGATGGAACTCTTTCTATTTCTATGATTGGTCGAAGAACTTCAACAATTTGATTAATGGTTACTAGAACTCACTGGGCTTATTTTCAGAGTTTGGAATTATATTTGGATTACAGAATTAATGCCAAGTAGACAAAACACTAGTTGTAGTGGTGGAATTGTGAGGCCTCAGGGGATTTTAAAACAGCTATTAATGGCTTTATTTCTTAGAGATTACTAATTTGGAAGTAAGTTGCGTTCTTGATATTGTGATTAATTTTGTTCTATGGAAGGAAATGAATCAGGCTACGTGCTGGCAAATCATGGACATTCTCTTGAAGAAGATAGGGTTTGCTTTGGACTTCTAGGATGATAAAGTTGAGGATTCAAGCATTCTATATCTTTTGCTGAAGTTAGGTGTATAGTTATATTGTATGTGCACACATGCGTGTGTGAGTCTTCAATTCCTCTAACATGTCACATTTACTTGGGATCTATGTTGCATGGACTTCTCTAAAAGCATGAAGTAGCTGTGTTAGACATGCAACACTTGGATAAGGTACATGTGTTTGACATGACTAATTGGACATGCCCCGAGCAAAAATGTCTATTAATTCAAGTATACTAAATGCTTGCTTATAGAACTCTTATATTATGTTTTAAGCATGCTTGCTTCAAAAGAATGAAGTGCCTATGCATAATGTATTACTCTATGTTACGTAAAATCTCACTTCAACATGGAAATAAAAGAAGAGTATTAAGAAATATGACTATTCAGTCATGTTCCATTGTCCTTGTACTTGGAAGTAGATGAATATGATGCTTGGACACATATCCACATCCGATGCACATAATGGATTCCATGTAACTAGCTTAGGATTGCAAATCAGGTCCAGCTGTGTCTATTTATTGATCTATTCAAATTGTAAATACTAGGACCAGATCAGAATCAGCGGACAAGATTGAGTTATTGAAATCTCTGTTATCTGTTATTCATCTTCTGTTAACTGAGTTGCTGAATTCTCCAATTGTTCTCTTTTGTTCCCAAGAGTGTGATGAACAGTTTAACTGACACACCATGTCTGTTAGGGTATTTTATTGATTTTTTATGTATCTGTGTGACAAAGAATTGAATTAGATGTACATCTAAATCTTACTGCATGTTGGAAATATCTATTCTTTCCTTTTGTTGCATACATTTTTTGAGAGTATACGCCTTAAGATGTTCATAGATTGTGTGTTGAAGTACATATAATACAAACCAAACGATGTATCTGATTTGCGACATCACGGGGTTTGACATTTTTGACACAATATATAATTGGATCTGGGTAAATAAAGGAATAATCTCATCAAATATGATTCGGTAATGACCAAATTCAAATGTGGTTTTTCTTTCATGATATGATTTGTGATCGTTCTACCCATTTACAGTGAAATCTTTGAGGTATTGGTTATTTGTTGGTGTGTGAGGCATGTGCTCAGTGGCTGTAAAATTTCATGTGCGCGCATACAACAGTAACTTTTGTTTCTATAGGTCCAATTTTATTTCATTTAAATTGCTCTTAAATGATAGAATTGTGTTTGTATATAGATTGTACTTCCCTGGTGACAAATGGGCACTATTTTAATTTTGCAATTTATTTTGTACACATTGTACTGGGAAGTATGTTTTCTGATCTCTCTGTCTACAGACAAACCCTCATGCTACAGTTGAGATTGAGATTTCTGAGGACATGCAGTTAGTACATCTTGACTTCAATAGGTACGGTACTTTGCTTGCTCATTGGTATATTGGTAATGTTTTTTTCTTCTATATAGAAACTAAAATGCATGTAGCTTCATATTCAGGGCTTTATAAATCTAGTAATTTGGTGAAATTCATCATTCAGTTTTTCTTATTAGAGATAGCAAAAGAGGGGAAAATAAGTAAAAGAAAGGAAAAGTGAATCAAGAAAGCCTTGAAGTATATCATCTAGCTATAGATTTTTGCAAAGTAGATTAGACATTGTGTGTTTTCCGGAAATGAAAATAGAAAATAGAAAATAAAAAATGAAAATACAATCAAACAGGCCTGAAGTTTCCCATAGTTGATTTTCTATTATCTTGTTGGCAGTACACCGTTTTCCTTGCACGATGATGCGTACATTCTCAAGCTATTATGGCGCTACCAACTTCCAGAGAGTACGCGCATTTCCCCAAGTTCTTCAGTTCTCTCTTCTTCAAGCATTGATGTTGCATCTGGTGGAACTAAGCCGTTCTACTGGAATTCTGAAACAGAGACAGCAAAAGTATATGAATAGATCCATGGTATGTATAGCTCCAAAACAAACACACACATATAGATATATCTATGGTATCATGAAATATTGGTTCAAGTTTCTTTAATTTTTTTGGTTAAATAGGTATGGGTATTGCCAATGATTGGCAATAGGTGATTTTTGTAACTGGTCATGTATCCAATTCATACCACTATTCAACTTTGAGTTTTTGGTGAAAGAGGTTTTAAGTATCTATCTATGTTGTTGAAATGGGTTTGCAATTGGTATTGATAATCTTTTGATGAGACATTTATAGTAAATGGAACATTTGGAATGCTTCAATTTTAATTTATGTCGTGTTAAATACAAGTTGTAATTCTCTTTGTTTTTAATTTCACGAGGTCATAAAATGAATTCAATGCTTTGCATCTAGTGATTGCTTTAACATTAGGGGAAATGTTAGTGACAAATAATCAACCACAAAAGCTCTCAATAAACCTGTTTGTCTTACATTGTGGATTCATGGAATAGTAACAACTCACAAAGCTCTCAAAAGCTCTCAATAAATCGAATGATTTGTGGGACCTTATGTAGTGATTATGTGACTTATTTCAGAGATTGATGTATAATTTTACTCATTTTCGATTTATGAATATGTTATGGTGCCTTAGCCTTGTATCTATCGTTGATTGGGTTTGTTCTTAATTTGTCGTCTCCACTCCAAAAGTTGGTTTTGATAAAAATTCAAATAAAGTTTTAATGATCAAATTTGAAGTCATGTCATATTGACAACTAATTTTAATCCAAATTGGTGAATCCCATGGAATAGTAACAACTCACATTTGTTGTTTTGTGCACAAAATTCCCCTTTATAAAAGTTTGGTGTGCAAAATGACACGCTATATGATTTGCACAAGCATTCACAAGTCATGTGACATTCTTTTGTAATTGGTGAATGCCTCTTAACTTTGTCTAAAACTCATATGAGGTCCAATACTTTGCTTTCTACAACAAAGCATAAAGTTTGTTTTTATAGAATGTGGGATAGCATAGGGGTTGATATCTAACTGTTGTTGTATTTGTTAGATTGCATTATTATATTATCCTCCTGTATAATTGAAGGTTGAAAATTAAAATTTTTAAAGTATGTATATAATTATATTAACCATGGCAAGGGATATGTGATTAATTCTATCTTTATGCTGATTTAAGGTTTTAATGTTTGATTTGTTCATCGACACTATTGGGACAAAAATTGGTGAAAAAATGAGTATAGGTTCGAGTGGGGGTCCGTTGGATAGGGTGGACAAACATTGGGTTGGATTTGGGTCGGGTCGGAACTACATAATAAGAGATTTTGTGTCTGTTAGAGTCTGGCCCAGTCCTAACATCAAACTTCTATATCTGTTCAAACCCATCCAAAGAATAATTATAAATCTCAAATCTACCTATCGATCTATACGTTAAAAAAAAAAAATTAAATCATTTAATAATTAAATTTAATTACACATTATATTTCTTAAATAAATATTTTAACATCATTATAATTGAAATATTTTGTATATAAATTGAAAGATTTTTTTAAATAAATTCAATTACACATCATTACAAATGTGAGTTTCAATAGAATTAATAAAGATAAAGTATAGATCTCAATAATAATTTTTTTTTTTAATGTATTATAAATAAATAAATAATTTAATAACGGGCCATGTTGGGCTAAATTGAAAATATAAATTCTAAGCCCATTAATATTTTGGGCTAAAAATGTTGGCCTAGCTCGGTCTTGTGGGCTAAAACAACCTTTCTAAACTCTAGAAAAATAGAGCTAGGAAGGGTGGGCTAGGCGGGCCAATGTTCACCCTAGCCGTTGGGTAATATAAATTAGGGTAAATCACACTTTGCCCCCTTTATGCTTGGTTACTTTTTAACTTTGGCCCTTAAAGTTTATATTTTTCCACTTTGGCCCTTTATGTTTTAAGTTTTTCTCACTTCACTCCTAAAGTTAATTTCTGTTCAAAATTAGACAGAAAATGACACAATAATTGTCATATAACATAAAAAAATATATTATTATATTAAAGTTTAAGTTTATGTCAGAGGTGTCAGTTATATATAATAAAATATTTAACTTCACTGGTGGGAAGGTGTGAAGCTTAGCAAGAAAGAAAAATTGCTTTGGAAAATCATTCCCTCAGCTGTGTTTTGGTCTCTGTGGAAGCTGCGAAATGAGTGTATTTTTCAGGCTGCTAAACCTCACTTGGAGGACCTATGTGAGTTGGTTAAAATCAAAGTTGCACTTTGGTTGAACCAGCGATTCAAGGCCTTTAACTTCACTGTCCAGGACTTCCTGTCCAATTTAAGACAAATCAGGTACTGTTTGGGGAGTAAATCTGTCCTATGTGGCTAATTTAGATATCAGTTTGCTTCTGGTTTTTCTTGGAGTACTTCCCTTGGTGTTTTTGTTCTGGTGGAGTTCTTCTTCTGGTCTGGTGTGCTCTGCTCAATTCTCTTCGGGGCTGTTATGGACTGCTGTTTTGGCCTGCCGTTTTCAGCTTGAGCTTCTTCTCAACTTAGGGTCAGGTTGGGGTTGGTTTTGGTGTTTGCTGGCCCTGTTTTGCATTTTGATTCTTCTGCTTTGTTCTTTTTTTCTGTTTCGGTTTGGTTCCTCTCCAAACCCCTTTCCTCTCCTTTTTTGATGTACTCTCATCTTGTATGGTTTGGTCATCAATAAAGGTTTCCTTGGCTGCTTCAAAAAAAATATATAATAAAATATTTTTATACTACGTGATTGTTAATGTCTAATTTTCTATCTAATTTCTAATAGAAATTAACTTCGGGAATAAAGTGAGAAAAACTTGAAACATAAAAGGGTAAAGTGGAAAAATATAAATTTTAAAGGCCAAAGTAAAAAAGTGACTAAATATAAGGAGCGCAAAGTGTAAATTATGTCATTTATTGTATTTCATATTTATTTCTGGTTATGACATATGAAAAAGTTATTGAAAGTGAAATGGAAAAAAGAAAGTGAAAGAAAATTTATTTTTTGAGTATGCATTTTGATTAAAAAATATATATATTATTTTGAAAAAAAAAAAGACTCGAAACTATAGATTTTTTAGTATTTTATTTTAAAATTTCTTTTATGAGAAAATAAATTCTCGTGTACATTACAAAAACTATAACATACCATCCTGATATGGACAAGAAATTTAAATTTCTTATATTTATTTTTTCTAACACTAATTACACTTAACCTGTGAAACAAAAAAGTGTTAAAATTATGGTAAAGAACCAATTTTCAATAGGGTTTGGATTGTTTTTAGTCTACCAGAGGTGTTGTTGGGTTTCATGAGACCCATCATTTATAATAATAAAAAAAAATCAGATTGATTTGATAAACATATTCGTATTTTTTGATGATATGTGTCTGCAAAAATTGGATGATTAAAATAATTTAAAAAATAAATCTCCATTTTTTAGTAGAAAAATATCTTAAAATTACGAGTTATGATTATCGAATTAATTGGATTTTTTTATAAATATAAAATTGAACAAAATAAATAATTGAGATAATTAGTTACATAATTTTATCATACTAATTATTAAATTATTTTGTTCAATTTGTGAACTCATGAGGCCCAACAACAACTTCCGTCTATTTGTGAACCGGAGAGAAATTTTTTCCGTTTCGATAAACATTTGCTCACATTAATAAATAGAAAATAATATGCAAGTTCACTTTCTGAACATATGTAAATGAAATAATTGGTAGATGATAAGGTAAGATATGAGAGATAAATTTATTTTAGATATTTTAATATGGAGAAAGATCCCCTCAACTCCAGATTTTGGATTACAGGATGCCGTTTGGGTTCGTGGGGCTCACTATGGGTCATATTTTGATAATCTAAACTATTCATATTATAAGCATTTTGTGTATTTTGTTTACAAAAAAAAAATTACGTCGATCCAATAGTTTTAATTTGTTCAATTTATTGCGTTTATCACTAAAAAAAATGTATGGTTTATTTTTAAAAATACAATTATTGTGTAATTTTTAGTAAAAAATTGAATAAGTTATAATCATTGGATTTATCTAATTTTTTGTGTAAATGAAATACACGAAATACCCGACACAATGAACCGTTCAAATTATCAAAACGAGAACCGTAATGAGCTTAAATAGTAACCTTCTGTCCAAAATCTGAATTTGAAAGCACCCTTCTCCTTTTAATATGAATAATGCTTGGGACCCCCTTTTGGGGGTCACCCCCTCACCCCCCTTTGCCACGTGGCGGGTGGTGATTGGAGGAGCAGGAAAAAAAAGAAAAAGAAAAAGAAAATGTAACGAATGAGAGAGAGAGGGGGTCAAAGGGGGTGGGAGAAAAATGGGGATGAATCATTGTTGTTTTAATATATTGTCACAGTATTATATTTGAAAAATAAGTTTATTTTTTAGATTTAAATAATATTACTCTTAATAAATATATATAAGATATGTGAGAGAGATAAAGAAATATGTTTACATATAATATTTTTCAATATATTCCCATGCAAAGGAGAGAGAGAGAGAGAGAGAGAGAGAGAGAGGGGGCAAGGGAACAGACTGGACTGGAAAAAAAGGTTGATTCAGTCGTCACACTCGGTTGGACTGTTTTACACCCCACCAAAGCACCTACCACTCTCCCTTTTCCTTAAACAATTTTGTTTTATATTAGTTTATGAGTGATTTTTGTAGGTGGATAGAGTATATATTATGTAATATTTTTTATTATTGTGATTAATTTTGATAGTATAATTTATTATATTTATATTAAATATTTTGAGAATAATATGAGACATATATATTTATGATTGATAAAAAAAATTATCACTTAATATCTTAACTGACATACAAAAATTTCTCATTTATTTACATATATTAGTTGTGCTTTATACTAAGAATTACAATTAAACTTATTGTTCCTTAGTGCATGTGTTAAACCAAATTATATGTTTGAAAAGCTCTATCTCTCTCTCTCTCTCTCTAAATCACAGACAGTCACTTTTCTTCATGCAAGAAGAGAGTCACTAAAAAAATATATATATATCTCTTTTATATTTGGGGAGTTTAGTTGGGTGTATGGGTCTCATCACTAATTTTATTTTTATTTTTAAAAAAAATTAAATTGATTTAAATAATTAATTATATATTTTTATCATATTTTTTTAAAAAAAATAAAAATAAATGATAAATATAATTTTAAAATTGATCAGTAATTTTTTAAAGACAAAACTATAACTA